AGTACATGTATTAGTAAAGTGAATTGAGTGTTCAAAATTTGATAAATAGTTCAGATCATGGTATTTATGGAGAATGATAATTTGATTTGGAAATCTTAAATTTTTTTTATTTAATTTCTACAACAACTTGTAACTGTGTTTTGTAGATCCATCAACTTTATATCACCTGTATATACTACTCATGATACTTGATGAATAGAGTCAAGAGAGAATAAAAGAATCCAGTTTCTTACAAAACCAACTTTCTTTTTTTAAAATCAACATGTTATCACGGAATACTCTTAACACATTTAGCGTCAAAAACAAACCTGGCGCTTCATAAAATATATTGTATCTTTTCCAAAGGTTTAAAATTCATAATCCTGGTGTCAGGGATTTTGATGTTAGGGTGAGTAAAAATGTGTTATTTCTTTGAAAATCTTTTCTGCCCATTGTCATCAAGAAAACATACTAAGTGTATGGTTATGATACGGAAATTATGGATATCTTGCCCCCTAACATAACTCTATTTATATCATACTGGTTTATATATTAATGATATACATGTACATCTCCAGAATCAGTTAAACCCAGAAAAAAGACCCCAGAGCTAGATGTTCACCAAGAATATTTTCTTGTTTCTTGGTTAGAATCCACCCATATGGCACACATATTTTTCTTCAAACCTTTCACCTTAAAGTTTAATTTATACTTCAATATTGTTAGGGGATTTTCATTTAATTTCTACTTACTTCCTTAACTGCATGTTTGCTGTCGATACAAAAGACATTTATCAATCAGAAAATTAATTCTCTTTAACTAAACGCAATCAACCGGAACTTTATCTCTGTGTAAGTAACTTTATTTGAGGACACTAATTGGTCTCTTTATGTTATTCGATATACACTGGTGTCGAATAATTGCTGCGTCTGCCTTTCAAAAACGTTGTCTCTAGCACTGGGCATTAAATAGAAAAAAAAACTAATTGCATGATTATGAAGAGAAAGGATTGAGGTGTTTTGGTGTTAAGGTGAGGGTCACCTGAATATATAGCTGAAATGCAGCTATTTCTTGAGCATCTTTTTGCCCGGTGCAATTAAGGAAACATAATATATACTAAGTACATGGTTAGGATGTACAAGGGTGTCTGTTCAAAATTATGAATATCTTGTCCCTTGGGTCAGGGGCTGTGGTATTAGCGGCGTGTGGCTATATTCAAATGTATTTAGAGAGTGCATTATTCTCCAGAAAATCTCCTCTGCCCCTGAGTAGCTGGGAGGCAAACAGAGTATAATGTTAATGTTATGTCAATTAAAAGCAGTTTTATACAAGATTTCATATTATCATATTAAATACAAAATGTTCTTTCGTTCTTTCACAGTTTTCAATGGTCAGATAGACATTTAAATTACAGATAAAGTGGAGCAAAAAATAAATCTTTGTACATATTTCTTTCAATAGTTTTGCGTCATGGTAGGATAATAAACTTCCTCATTGCCTGGATTAAGAAAGTTGCGAGGAATCAGTTTGTTTCTCCATAAATTAACAGAAACTATGCCATCGTGACAGACTGAGGTAAAAACTAGTGACTTTTTATTAAGAGAGCATCGATGTCACTTATATTTACGGAGGTTATGTAGAAATATGTAAAAATCATACAATTTCTTGATTTAGCTTGAATTTAGCTACGTAGCTTGATTTAGTTATTTAAAAAAGCTTGACTTAGATATTTGTTTAAACATGTTTCTTGAATGTGCAATTTTCTAAATAAGTAGAAAAAGTTGCATTTTGGAGGAGTGAAAGTTTTCATTTTAATTGCAAATTTCCAATTTATGGACTAACAAAAGATTTGACCGATATATAGCAGTGTTTAGGAGGAAAAATTTTCCAGAAAAATCACATTTAAAACAATGTTCTTTGGTTGCTTCCTATCGTATGCTTCTCTAAATTTTTCAAATATGCATTTTGAACCTAAAATTTATTATTTACAACTTTAAAATTAAGCTTCAAAGTTGGCCAAAACAGCATTTAATCGTTAAAGCTTCAATTTTTGCGTAAATTGTGGCATAGAAGGAGCCCTACCTTTAAAGTTAATAATGAATTTTTGATAGATTTTGATCTGAAGAATAATTTTTAAAAATAATTAGAGGCAACCCTGCCCTGGAGTTGAAATTCGCAAAAACCTACAAAAAATGTGAAAATCTTTTTATATTACATTGGTTTATATTTTTGACGTATATATTCAGTAAAACTCATAGAGACAGGCCACAAACCTTCATCAATAATTATATTATTTTAAGTGTCCTGGTTCGAATTTATTTTTTTGCATACTAATTTTGTTCAAACTTTTCACCTGTATAAACACCAATGCTGTTTATATAAAAGACTTTTAAATGGAACTGCAGATCATTAATTCTGTTTAACTAAACGTAATCAACTGGAGCTATATATATCGCGTGGTGTAAGTAACATTATCCGAGGACACGAATCATTCTCTTCATGTTACTTGATACAGGTCTCAAGAAAAAAAATCACCCGGACAAAAATTGCTGTTTGCCTTTCAAAAACATCTCCAGGTAATAGCACTGTTGTGCAAGGCCTAAACTAGGCTTGAATTTTAAATAAGGTAAGGGATCTAGGGACGACCAAGCTGATCCAGGGTGGTTCTCGGAAAGGGTGTGGGTGGGTTAACCAACTGAAGACAATCTTTGAACGTTTTCATTCAATTTGAATTATTTTTAGCACCTGACGAGAATTTACAGAAAATGACAAAAAGTTGAAAGTCTTAATTTTGAATATGGCAAATATGATTAATTTTAGTTCACTCTTCAGAAAGCTCTTAGATTTTACTGAGGGAATTGCCTCAATGGTACTTACGGCCTATTTATTTATGGTTTGGGAGAGATACTACAGAATAAATGCAGTTAATCCTTTAGGAAAAATTCTACATTGGCGATATTTATGCCAGAAATGCAGAAGGAAAGTTTACAAATTAGAAAAGACTGTGGTACATGTAGGGTCAGTTAAGGCTTTATTACCCAGGCTTCAGTAAGTGTTCCTCTTACAAAGGATGTATCAGTCTGTAAATACTGAGGAGGGTCAGGCGAACAAGCAGTTTACTGGAACTTTTTTTAGCGATAGATAAAAAATCCAGAAACTTCATGCTTGTGGCTAAATACAGTGACTAGAAAAGACTGATTAAACCAATATCCGCCCTTTAGGCCAGCGCATATAAATACCTAAAAGTGTCCTGTGTTCATTTATGCCTATTTCTTTTTTTTTTTAAAATGTGAAAAACTGTAATAAATAAATTACTTCAAGCTTTATAGCTAAATCAGGAGACTGTGCTGGACCTCATACAAAATTTATATACTTTTTAACTGGGATCCAAACGAAAAGATTTGCAAACGAAACAAAATGACTATATGTAATTAAGAATCATGTGGAATTAATGTGTTGGTGTTTGAATGGTTGGGATGAGCGGCCTTTTGTGTACATCGTTTAGTTTTAACTTAGATCCCTTGTTTTTTTAAGGTCTACACTACGTCATCATATGACTTGATTGTTAGTTGCATTTGTGTAATGAAGTCTAAAAAGGCAAGTCATTGGAAAGATCGAGAGCATTTAAATTGCGATATACATGCATCTGTAATTTGCATAAAAGATTTCTGTGTCTCTTTATTTTGTTATTATGAGACTTTTAAGCCGAAGTTATTGAAATCCAAATTATTTGCCGTGCATTATGAGCCCAGTGCTTAATGCAGAAAAAAGCAGTTGAATTAATATGCACAGTCCAAATTTTGTCTTCAGTAGGTGTTGCTATAAAGAGCTCATAGTTTGAGCGGGGCTTTGCAGCACTCGCTTTAATGTTGAATTTTATTTTTAAAATACGCAGCTTTCATCTTTAAGTATGAAAGATGGCTAATTGTTATGGTTATTTCAGATTTACAAACTAATTTTAGAAAATGCAAAATTAAACTTTTGTCCATTTTTGTAAGTCTTCCTTGTTTTCTTTTTTATTATTATTAATTTACATGAATACTGTTGTTATCTCCAAATCCTTCTTCACTTAGCTTTCGATTTTTGTTAATTGCCCTGACTTCCAAGCTTTGAAAAAAATGGTAGGTGATGGGATAGACAGAAATATATACCCATCAGACAAATATGATCCTGTCACATTCTCCACTGACCAAGGGGGTGCTGCCTCCTCCTCCATGCCCGACTACAAGAGATACCAACAAGAGAGCTTCTATGAAGTTCAGACGTCACTAACACTGGAGGAGGCCCGATACTCAGAAATGAGCAAAAAGATCGCGTGATTGGGTCGAATTTCAATTCTCTTTATATACATGTTCCTTGATAGAGGTGTCACGAAAAGAAATATGCGAGCGCGTTTTCTTTAGCCTTGGGTATTTAACTGAAAACTAATTGCATGATTATGCTGAGCAGGGTTTCAAATTCATGACCCCAGAGTAAGGGATGTTGGTGTTAGGGTGAGGATATTTGAAATGCATTATTTCTTTGAATATCTTTTCTGTCCATTGCCATTAAGGAAACATACTAAGTGCATGGTTATTATGTACATGGGTGTCTGTTCAAAAATTGTGAATATTGCGGTCCTTTGGTCAAAGGTCCCCTTATTAGCATGTGGCTATATTGAAAGTATACTGAAAATGAATTCTTCCCCAGAAAATCTTCTCTGCTTCTGAGTATCTAGGAAGGAATATAAAATATATGAGTATATGAATATAAAGTTAATCACTGCAAATATAATGTACACTTTTTTCAATTAAAAAGCATTATTAGTACGTATTATCGTATTAGATACAAGTTTTTTTTTCGTTCTTTCATAGTTTTCAATGGTCAGATAGGCTTTTGAATTATAGATAAAGTGGAGAAAAGAAAATGAAAGGTTTGTACATAATTTTTAAAATAGTTTTGCGTCATGGAAGCCTTATAAACTTCTGCATTGTATGAATTAAGAAAGTTGCAAGGAATAAGTTTGTTTCTCCATAAAACAGAAACCATGCCATCGTGACAGATTGAGATAAAAACTAGTGTCTTTTTATAAAGAGAGCATCGATGTCATTTTACATTACGGAGGTGAGGTCAACCCTGCTCTTAAATTTAATCATGAAATTTTGATAGATTGTGACCTGAAGGATAATTTAAAAAAGAAATTAGAGGCAAACTGTCTCAGTGTTGATACTTGCAAAAACCTACAAAATTTGAAAATCTTTTTACTTCACATTGTTTTATATTTATGACGTATACTGTATATTCAGTATAGCTCATAAAGACAGGCCACAGACGTTCACCAACAATTCTATTTTTAGTGTTATGGTTCGAATCCACTTGTTTGTGAACTTATTTTGATCAAAATTTTCAGTTGTATAAACACCTATTTTTTCTGTAGGGGGTTTTGCATTTTACTTCTATTCACTTCCTTGACTGCATGTTTGCTGTTGATATAAGACATTTAAGGTAAAATGCATATAATAAATTTTCTTTAGCTAAACGCAATCAACAGGAACTATACGTAAGTGTAAGTAACTTAATTCGAGGACAAAAATTATTCTCTTTATGTAACTAAAAGAGATGTCACGAAAAAAAAATCACGCCGAGCAAAAATTGATGCATTTACCTTTCAAAATTTTCATCTCCGGGTAATAGTACAGTAATTGTTGAGCAAGGCTGTACCTTGGCTCAAATTTTAAGTGGCTTAACCAATTGTAGACAATCATAGAAAGTTTTCACGTTTTGAATTACTTTTTAACATGCTGTCTAGGCTGCAATTAAGCTTTTGGCGAAACGATGGATTTATAAAAAAAAAAATGAAAGAACTTTTGAACAAGGACTAGGTCTATATCTACCTGCAAGTCTTCCTTTTTGCTTATTTTTTTATTTTAAAGAAATGTAAAAACTTGTATTAAAAAAGCTTTATCAAGTTAAAAAAAATTGCTTCATAAATTAGCTTTTTAACTACTTCAAGCTATACAGCTAAATAAAAGATTGTGCAGGAACTGATACAATTTTTATTCATTTCCCTGGGATCCAAATTTTTTAAACCGAAAGATTTGCAAATCAAAATAATGACTTTTTGTTAAATTGAGCAAATTGATGCAAAATTATATTTTATCCATTTTTGTATGTCTTGCTTGCTTTTATAATAATTAATTTACATAATATTCATTAAGCTTTCGATTTGATCTTTGTTGTCGTTAATTGCCCTTGCAACCAGTTGCAATCTTCGAAGAAAAAAATGGCAGGTGTTGGGCTGGACACAAAAATATACCCATCAGATAAATATGATCAAGTGACCTTCTCCACTGATCAAGGGGGAGCTGCATCCTCTTCCATGCCCGGCTACAAAGGATACCAACAGAAGAGTTTTTATGATGATCAGAGTCCGGAGTGGGGTCGAATTCAGTGGCATTCGATGGAACTGAACCAGGATTTTGAATTTCAAAAGGTTTGTTCAATTGATTTGTAAATCAATACAGTTAAATGTTGTTATCTTTAACTGGATTGGGCAGTGATAAACCTTGAAATATCCGAGGGTTCGAGATATAGAAAGTAAAACACTTAATAAATACGTGGTAAGGACTTCACAATCGCTTCGACTTATCCATGGTATTGGAGATACCCCTGTTCAAGATACAGAAGTTCAACTGTATTTGATAAAACGTTATATTACGTCTCTCTCGAGAATTTTTCACTCATGTGGAGACGCTTAAAAAGAAGAAAAAGACATATGAAAGCATTATTTTTATTTCTTTTTACAGTTGATTTATTTAAAAGCTTAGAATTTCTAAATGGCAAGACTTTTTTAAAAAAAAAAGTCTTTTAAATTCATATAATGAGTATTTATTTGATATTGTTTTCAGAGGAAACGAGAACATATAACATTTGTAAAGCAGCATTTCCGACAAATAGAATGCAGTAAATTTGTGCCAAAACCAAACCAAACCTCAGTCAAGAAAATAAGGGACTTAAAGTAAGTCTGAAAGTTCAGTATTGATAGGAAGAATGAAAAAAGACGGGATCTTGTAGTTAAAATGAACATTGGAGACTTAACAAAATTGTACTTTTTTAGCAATCAGTACTGCATTATCAGTTTGATAAAGGTATTGTCTTAATTACAAGGTGCCATTGTGGAGAGATTCTGACAGAGCATGCTGGGCTTTCTAATGCACAACCAATGAATAACGTCCAGAGAGATATTGTGGAGGCCTATCTTATTCCAGACACTAGTATGTAGACACTTTATTGATAATATTAAATACTAAGACAACAATAGGTTCATCTTCTATGAAAAGGTATCTCAACTTTGCATGATATTTGAAAAAAATAATGCATTTTGATAATTTGTTATTGTTTTGATGAAAAATATATGTAAAATTGTTACTGTACCATTTTACATGTTTGTTTCTTGTTTTTGAAGATTTGCGAAGCATCATAAATCGAGAAACACTTTTCAAAGCCCCACCAAGCAATATGCCTGTAGTTCCGTGGAGCAAAGAGGAAGCTTTTCGGGAGAATATTTGTACAACGTTTGGGAAAATAAGTTTTATAAACAATGATAACCAGTTAGGGGGATATAAACCTGCAAAGGTATAAGTTTTCCTGAAATCTCCAATAATAAATAAGAATTGGGAAAGGTGTAGATTTTTATCATCATAATAAAAAATACAGGCCACTCTAAAGAAATAGGGAATTACAACCGTATTTTTGAATTCCTTTGAGGTGTTTAGATGACAATTCTTATGTTTTAGATCACCTTAGCCGAAGGCCCATGAGAGCTTTTCTGATCAAAAAGTGGCCGGCGTCCTTATGTCGTCTGTTTAATTTTTTGTTTATACTCTTCAAAATTGACTGTTCCATTTTTACATAAACTTTCCACAAATCATCCTTGGGTTAAGTTTATTCACAGGAAGAGTTACAGCACCGTTTTACAAGGAGATGCATTGAATATTTGAATTTGGGGGCATCTTCAAATTTTTTTCCCTCAAGAACCACAGGACAAGAAAAGATGACACTTATCTGAAAGCTTAATTGCATATTCTAGATTTTAGTCATCTTCATGTAGTATTTTCCTCAGGTAGTGTAAATTCAAGTTTGTTCCCACCAAGGGCTAGAGAGGGGCACAAACAGAGGGGTTCGAAATTTTACATAGGATAATGTATGAAATGTTTTCAAAATCTTTTTCTCAAAAACAGCAAAGCCATGATTAGTCAAATAATAATATAAGTATCCTCAGAATATATCCTCTTGCAGTAGAGCCTACCACAGCAGGGGTCAAAATTTAATAGGAATATATTGGTAGTGTGTTTTAAAATCTTCTCGAGAACGGATAAGCCACTATTAGTTATTTTCGTTTAGAGGTATCCTCAGGTAGTATAGATTCAAGGTTTTTTCAAATCATCAACCAGGGGTTAGTTATGGGCAAAAATAGTTATACAAAGGAATATAAAGGTGTTATGGTTTAGGGGCATTTGAAGACTTCAGATAATGGAATGACCTGATAACCTTTGGAATCGACCAGCCAAAGCAAAGATGTTCAATGCAAAGCTTTGGGAAAGTCAGGCATTTAGAAGCTATTTGAAGTCGTTAGATGTAAATCAGTAATAAGAAAATTAATTAAGGGTAAGAGCAAAATTAAAAAATAAAAGTTATTAACACCAGTGGCAAGCATCCTGAGAAATTAATGTGAAGTTCTGGGTCTAGTAAGAAAAATGAAACTCTTGGTTCTTACCTACAGTATCAATGGGAACCAAGGAAAAAACATGGTGCAAGTAGTGCCTTACACAGTCCCCATTTCTATATCAGAAAAAAATTAAGTACTGCGTGATACTAGTATACCCTCAGACAGTGCTGACTTGATAATCATTCCATTCCTTAACTCAGATAGAGTAAAAGGAAAACCAATATATCCTTGTAAGACCTGATCATGCACATTTCAAAAGAAATATCTTAAAAATCTCAAGACCAACTAAGTCATATTAGTATTATTAATACAGAAGCAAAGTTATGTTTTGCAATTGATCAAGTTTGTTTAAATCATGACCCCAGTGGTTGGAGCACAACAGAGGGTCAAGGTTTCTTCTTTTCAAAGCAATGGTTAGTAATATTGATAAGGAAGCATCCTGAGGTAGTGTTAATTAGTCTCCACACTGTTCAATACTAAACAGATTACTGCTTCTGTCAATGTGCTAATGTGAACAATGTAGCCCACGGGCATCTTGTTTTTAGTATGTTCGACTGAGTCATAAGGATTCCGTAGACAAATGCCTGGAGCTGATGGAGAAGCACTGGAAGATAATGGAGCCTAAGCCGCCCAGTCTGTGTATCTCAGTGATAGGAGGGGCAAAAAGCTTCAAACTGGACAACAAAATGAGGGAAACCTTCAACACAGGTCTTATCAAGGTAACACATCACCCCTACTTCCCAAACACTTCCAGTAATTTTACATTCACTATGTCATCTACACACAACATTGAAATATTCCTCCTCCACTCCCTTTAAAATCAGATTTATATATTTACACAGTATCATCAGATTTTCCTATTTTCCCAACATTATAATCTTTTTCTCTTATACATTGTAACTTCCCACCTTTTGAATCTGTGTCCTAAATGAGGTAAGGTGGCCATACAATGGGGATTTTCAAGTAATTTATATCCAGAAGTGTTGGGTCTCCTATACGCTTTTAAACCCCTAATTTTCCTTCTCCACTTTTTAAAACCTACTTTAAGTACCTCCTACCTTTGGGTTTAGTAAAATGTAAAATTAATGAACAACATATGCATTTCATTACAAATTAAAAATGGATAGCTACAGTTGTATTTGATTTCCATCATATGACAGATGGTAATGTTTCAGCAGATTTCTCTGTTTAAATTTGTACCTACATTTCATAGTTTTCATCATGTCCATTGTTCTGGTTGACTCGAATTTCGTTTTGTTCCAGGCTGCGAAGACAACTAACGCGTGGCTGATCACGACGGGGTCCAATGTGGGGGTGATGAAGGCGGTGGGTAACGCCATCAGTGAGGGTCAGTCCTTCCTGTGGGACAACGACAGAATCACCCACACACTGCGTCTGATCGGAATCGGGCCCTGGGGGTACGTCAAGGACAGAAAGTACCTAGAGAGTGACGGCAATGTAAGTCATCGAACACGAAAGAGACTGTTATGTCCACTGTCTCCTTTTGACCGTCCTGACTTCCACATAAAGAGATTGAGAAGGATTGTTTACAGCATATTAGCTCTCTCTCCTCTCTCTCTCTCTCTCTCTCTCTCTCTCTCTCTCTCTCTCTCTCTCTCTCTCTCTGTAATGCATTTTAGAATTCAAGTTCCAAAAATTTTAAATTACAATGTGCATGTATGTCTTATATTGTTTTTGTTACACAGAAAAGAAATGTTTGGAAAGCTTGTTTTGACTCACCTTGCAATATGATGTTAAACCAGACTTGTTCACCTGATTGTTTGAAATACAAAATCTGTAAAATATTGAAGCGGTGTTACTTGGGTTCCATACTAGCTTTTTAGCACTGTATCCATTTCTATATTTAATTGAATAGATTTTTACTATTATGATAAGCATAATTATTAGACATGTAATACTGAATCTATATGTAATTTGAATGATTAATAATTGTTCATTCCAGGGTCATTTTCCGGTGCATTTTAAGACCAGTAATGTCATTATTCACGGTAAACCTGTCCCCCTGAATCCTAACCACACCCACTTTGTGTTTGTGGATGACGGGTTCAGGAACACGTACACTGGGGCCTCGGAGTTCAGGGCTCAGTTTGAACAGAAAGTTTCCAAACCTAAAGAAGGTAATCACAGGGCAGTTCTCTGATATTTACATTGATGTTTTGACTTTTCCTGATTTGTCTCAATCGCTGTTGTTAGTACATAAAACGTTTTTTAAGGATCAGTGTATGACATACTAATTGTTGCAATCCATGGAATATGTCAATATACCAGGTAATTTTCACAGACAGAGATACATTGCAAAATATTATGGCTTATAATGATTTCAATTGTATGATTAAAATACAATTTTTGTAGTAAAAATAACAAATGGTTTCTACTTTTATTGATTTTTAGCTGGAGGTTTAGGCATTCCCCTCGTCTTGGTGATCTTAGAGGGAGGGACGGATGCCATTCATGATGCCATGGTGACCCTAGAACACAAAATTCCCGTCGTCGTCTGCTCGGGAACGGGGCGAGCGGCGGACATATTGGCTTATGCCTACTCTAAAACTCGCAGCAAGTAAGATTTAGCCTCCATTTGTCGTTTGAATGTCATATTTATATCAGAACACTGTCATTTGGAAGATTCTGAAATGTTTGGTGTTAACTATGAAATATATGAAGATAACGAACGGTATTCAAGCTAAAAAATCTATTAAACAAGTCAAACTTTGAAGCAGAGCAAACAATCCACTATACGGTATAACCCAGGCGAAATCTGTCTCTTACGGGTAACTGTTATAATGTATATATACCATCTATACGCTGGCTATTTACATAATACAGATTATGTTTAATGTTTGACTTTTTACGCAGTAAGGGAGAACTGAATCCCAAACATGAAGGAAAGTTGAAGGAGAAAATATTAGATGCTTATGGAGAGAGATGGAAGGAAAAGGATATTGAGGAAAATCTAAAGGAAAATATGAAAAATGTGACGAAATGCATGGAGCATAGAGAATTGGTACTGATACATCCATAAAACTGTGTACTATGTAACATAAATACAATTATAATAGGACGAAAATTTCTTTACATTAACTCCTGTCTGTATAAGCCTGGCTTTATATCAAATTCTATTTGGTAATGATGTCTATGTTAATTAAGTCATCATGTTAATTATTTTAAAAAAAGTTTATTTAAAAAATTGTCCCCAAGTTCTAGCTTTTATTATGCCCAAAGAAAATTTAATGTATTCTAAAGTGTTCTGATATTGTGTTGTCCTGGCTTCAGATCAACATTTTTCCGATGAACAAACATGAGGATTTGGACATTGCCATTCTGACTGCTTTACTGAACTGTACGTATACATATGTAGAAGAAATGCATCGATTTGCTTCATCATAAAAGAAATTTTATTCATTTGAAAAGACTTCATTTTCAATCTGCTATCAGAGTTTCTCCTCAACTCCCTACCCCCCCCCCCCCTCCCCCCACTCGTTGAGATATTTTCTGAATCAGACGCTGTATTCTTTTTAGGGTATGTCATTTATTAACTTTTAAAAGTTCAGTCAGAATCTTTTAACTTCAAAACTATTCATTACAAATGATTTTTTTATGGCACATTTAAATTTAACAACAGAAATAATATAATTCAATGAAAAACCTGCTCATATATTCATAAATAAGCAAGTTTTATTAGGGACTATATATCTTGTGGTGGAAGGATGTTTAGAAAAAAAATCCTCAAATTTACACATTTGTTGATATATTTTGGAACTAGCCCCATATATTTTTGCGTACGTGGAGAAAATAAAGCCTTTTAAGATGTATTAAACATGTAAAGATAAAATTCACTCACTTTATTGATAAGAAGTCGCACATTTGGATCAATTTTTAAATTTCATTATTTAAAATAAAACAATACTTCTAACCAATCAGCACTTAAGGTTACTTATCACAAACCAAAAAAAAAATATGCATGGATTGATACAAATTTTTTGACTGATAGTGATTTGAAATGACATGAATAATAAATCCCTGAAATATAAGAAAATTTGCCCTCTTTGTAATTCCATACAAATTCTTGCACTATTTTTTATCCTTATGAGAAAATCTTATACAATTCTCTCACTATACTTGGTAAACATAACTCAGGTTACTGATTTAAATGTAAATCTATGAGAAACATTGCTGATTTATGATAAAGTTTGTTTGTGTTTTGTATCCTTAAGTCATAAAACGTTTGATACAAGAAAATATTTTATTGCATATTTAGATCTTTTATTTCCAAAATCACAAAATGTTAGATACAGGAAACATTTTAATGCCTATTTAAAATTTTTATACCCAAAATCTATTACTTTCTCAGTGCAAAAGAGTCACAAAATTAATTTGTTCAATGATAAATATTACTCAAACTAGTTTACACAAAGTAAAATAATATTTATTGCCATCATTACATCTGATAAAATGTGATAAAACCAAAGACAATTTAACGAGGTTCAAGATAAAGATATTTAAAGTCTTAAACTTTTTTTTTGTCAATTATATTTTTGTTTTGTTAAATATATAGCTTTATTAAAAATTCAAACAAAAATTGGGGTCAATTTGGTTCTTTTGGCGCTACAGTACATTAATAGAACATTTTTGCACAGAAATTTGTGTCTGAATCAAAAATTAAAATCAAAATCATGTCAAAAATCACATCTTCTACATTTTCCCTCTAATATTTTTTTTCTATCGAAATATATCATGAACCTAATAAACTCTTAGTCTTTAAAAATAAGAGCCTGACACTTTAAAATTGTGACTGAGAAAAAGCTTTTAATTGGTTCATATAATCATTTTTTTTTTACCTTTTTGCATTCACAAAATGTTATTTTTCTGGCATTAAAAACATAAGAAGCAAAAAAATTATTTCAAAGTCTTAAACTTGTGGTGAATTTTAAGAGATTGATCAAAGATATCTTATATATTCAAAAAAGAACAACAGAAGTAGGGTCTTTGATGTAATTATTTTAGAAATTATTAAAAAACAACTTTAATTTTATGCTAAAATTGACTCAATTTTCTCTGGACTTTCAGAATATATTTACTGTATTTGTCACAATATAATGAAAAAATCCCTAAGAGATAATTAAATATAAATTTCAGAACCACCTTACAAAATTTCACTGTTAAAAACAACCCTCTGTGTGCAACCAGCATGGAAAAATTGAAATTTAAACTAAACAGTACTATATATATTTCAAAAGGGAAAATTTGATCATTATCTTCTTTAAAAACCTGTAGAATCTAGATCAAATGTTAAAACTTAAAAATTGTGCAGAATTTTAAAAATAAAGGTCCAGACCAAAATCTGCTCAAACGCTCAGGATCAAACGAAGCAAAATTGTCAACTCAATTGATCAGTAAGATGCACACTGATTCCCCCCCCCCCCCATTTTCTTGGCAATTTGAATCGTGATGCTAAATGAGTACTTTTCTAAAATATTCTTCTAAAAAATGTTTGATATTGTATATATGTACTTATATTACGATTGACATACCTTAAGTCGGATTTTTTTTTAATCATTATTAATCACAGTTATATTGATGTTTGTAAAATTATGGTCACGTTGCCGTTTTTTCATTATTTAGAGAAAGTATGTCAGATTTTTTTTTTTACAATTTTTTCAGCTAAAGCCGGAGACACATCAGACGAGATTCGACAGAACCAACTTAAGCTGGCCTTGACCTGGGACAGGGCTGACATAGCTCAGGAGGAAATCTTCAGGGAGGACATCCTGTGGCCCACTGGTAAGACCTCAGGACAAAATTGTAAATTTGTGTAGACATTCCAGCTTAATCAAAATTTCTTTGAATAGTAAAAAAAGCCATCTTATTTCAAGGTTTGTTTTTATGTATCTCCACACGTAATCACAAATCTTCGACATTTTGGAAATATACATTACATATTTATTTTAACTCTAATTATGTACGTGTTACCTTAAACATGGATTCATGAGAGAAATGTCCAAGGATGCAAAACGTTTATCATGAGTGCTGTTCAACTTCATACATGAATTTCAATTCTAAACATAGTAGGGATTTATTTTCTTTCCAAGTGTTATACAATTTTTTTGGATGTTTTATATAATCTTTTTCTACAATGATTGTACGCCTGGACTTTTCAGGGAGTCTGCATGACGTGTTAATTGTATGTCTGGACTATTTCAGGGAGTCTGGATGACGTGTAAATTGTATGTCTGGATTATTTCAGGGAGTCTGGATGATGTGTTAATAGTACGTCTGGACTATCTAAGGGAGTTTGGATGATGTGTTAATTGTATGTCTGGACTATTTCAGGGAGTCTGGATGACGTGTAAATTGTATGTCTGGATTATTTCAGGGAGTCTGGATGACGTGTTAATTGTACGTCTGGACTATTTCAGGGAGTGTGGATGACGTGTTAATTGTACGTCTGGACTATTTCAGGGAGTCTGGATGACGTGTTAATTGTACGTCTGGACTATTTCAGGGAGTCTGGATGACGTGTTAATGGAGGCTATTATAGAGGAGAGAGTGGAGTTCATGACCCTGATTTTACAGCAGAACGTGGTGATGAAGGAGTTCCTGACCACGGAGAGGCTCCAGAGACTCTACGAAATGGTACGTGTGTCCTAGTATCTACTTTAAATAACTAAAAATTATTATTATCAAAGAGGTGGTACAGAAACGCTACGAAATGGTACGTGAATCCTAGTATCTACTTTAAATAACTACAAATTATTATTATCAAAGAGGTGGTACAGAAACGCTACGAAATGGTACGTGTGTCCTAGTATCTACTTTAAATAACTAAAAATTATTATTATCAAAGAGATGGTACAGAAACTCTAAGAAATGGTGAGTGTCTTCTATAGATAAGTCAGAATTATTACTATCAAAGAGGTGTTACAAAAACTCTATGAAATGGTCAGTATCTTCTATAGATAGGTCAGCTGAGAATTATTACTATCAAAGAGGTGTTACAAAAACTCTATGAAATGGTCAGTGTCTTCTATAGATAAGTCAGAATTATTATTATCAAAGAGATGGTACAGAAACTCTACGAAATGGTCAGTGTCTTCTATAGATAGGTCAGCTGAGAATTATTACTATTAAAGAGGTGGTACAAAAACTCTATAAAATGGTCAGTGTGTCCTAGTGTCTCCTGCAGCTAAGTCAATTGTGATTTATTACTGTCAGTTGACCAACATTTAATTTGTGTGAGAAATATTCATTACTTTTATGACCTTCACAGAGGAAGAAAAATGTAGTAGATTTGTATAAAGATATATATAACCTAACTCTTTAATCATCAATAATATATATATCTTTATACCAATCAATTGGGTATTAGAAAATAGGCTTTGTGAAAATGTAATGCTCTTGAATTTTGTAGAAAACATGTGCTTTGGACTACCTTCAGCAAAGCCCACAATCCAAAAATTAAAACATAATATTGGATCTTCAGAAACAAATCTTTCATTGTGTAATTTCATATTTTGGATCAAAGGTTGTGCTCTATATGAAATATTGAAATAATACTACAATTTTTGGTCATTTTCAAAGGAAAATACAGGATGTTTGGAAAAATGATGCATTTTATGACGTCAAAATGCATTGGACTAGAGGGAAAATTACGTCATGTTCATTGATACATAGTCACCAACAATCCAAGTGAAAAATACTGCATTTTCAACCTAAACTTAGCAGTTTTGATGCTTTAGAAATTCTTAGGGCCAGAAAGATCCTAAGTGGCTCTTGCGCTTTACACTAATTAACAGATTTGAAACATTCTCTTTTTTAACAGTCTCTAGCAAGAACAGACAGCATTCATCTCCGGAAGCTGATGGATCGTAAGATAAACACGAGAATATTTACTTACGACAGTCTGGCCCGGCTCATGGAGTCGCTGATGGATAAATACGACCACAACATAGAGGAAGACAACGTAGAAGATACTAATGGAGTCAAGTTTACACCGGTCAAGACGGCCGGCCAGAGACAGTTTAAATGGCCGTATAAACAGCTGATGATTTGGTCCATTCTTATGTTAAGGTAATATAGTGTAATATTCTGTCCATAATAGTTCTATGGATTTAATGAATGAGAAAGCAAGCACAACAGATGTAAACAGTTTCATTGCTCCGTATATTTAGCCATAATTTCCTATAAACGAACTTATATTCGCATCCAAGAGTTTCCTGACCTTGTTTTGCTTGATTCTCTTTCTTTATGCAAACTTTTTATGTAATTGTGCATATTATGCAGAATATTTTCTCAGTTGCAAAAATTAGTGTACAGGATAGATTTCAAACTTAAAAATAGCAAGTAAAATAAAAAGATTTGATACCGTATAAGCAGAATTTTTAGCGACGATTTAATTTTGCCATCATTGGCAAGGGTGCTGAGTTCGCTAAAATTGAATATCGCTAAAAATTATTGGCGTTTTATTTGTAATAGCTTCTTAAGTGAGCATTTAAAAATCGCTAAAATTGCTTATCGCTAAAAATAAAATACCCTTTTTAAAGGACAAATATCTAAATTTGCCTCTCGCTAAAATTTCAACTTATACGGTATTTTCCTAGACAAAAATTGGCCAAGTTTGCGTGGCAGATGGGGAGTGAACCGGTGACAAGCGCGGTGGCGGCCTCCAGGATTTACGGCAGTATGGCGGAACACATCCACAGCAACGAGTCAGCACTTAAGGAAAAAATCCTAGAGTACAAAGAGTATGTCAGAGTCTACACCCAGTTTTAATATGAAATGCTTTAATTGATGGTTGTTCCAAGGAAATTAGTGAAACACAAATTTGATGATTAAGATAATTTTCCAGTAAACTTTGGTGTTCTGATTGATCTTAAAATGGTGGTTGTTTAATTATTATTAACTATTGAAAATTTTAAAACTTTTGATTTTTTAAAAATTGTTAAAGGCGCACAGTGCATAATCTGCATTAATCTGTCTTGCATCTAAAAAATGTCATTTGCTTGGATTTTCCTTTACCTTTTTGAATTTTGTGTGAACATTTTGTATTTTTCCATAACTGCCAGTATGAAATTGTATCAAAATTTTTGTCTTAATACATGTACAAAATATTATTAAAAATATCTGATTTAAACGATAGAGCATGTAATTCAAGAAATCTTTATTTTTTTTAGTGAATTTGAACACATAGCTAAGAGCGTCCTTGACGAGTGCCATTTAAAAGATCAAGAAAAAGCCATGATGTTGGCCGAGAGGAAATCGCCGACGTGGAGTTCAATGACGAGTCTACAGATCGCGGCTTCAGCCGTTAACAGGGTACGTGAAGTTATAAGGTGAAACAAGGCAGTATAAAGAAATGGGAGGGAAGCAGTATCTAAAAAATAGTGTCAAGTAACTGTCAAGTTTAAGGGGGTCGAGGTGGCATATATATAGTATTTGGCAATAAATGCCAAATAAAGTTTTTTGTGCATGAATTATCTTGAGCTTCAATCTAAATGTATATTTAAATCATAAAAATCTAAAGGTTGACATAAAAACTGTACAGTGTTGTCACCTTGATGTGTTATTTTTGAAGGCATTCCTTTCCTCAGTGGCATGTAAAAATTCTATAGATAACACGTGGAACCGAGGCATTCAAGTCCAACCTTACCAGGTAAACACGAATTCTGATCATGACAACTCATTTTTTTTTTGTATATTTGAAGGTTTATCTATCTTCCGTGGCATGTCAAAATTCAATCGACGCCACGTGGCGACGTGGAATCCCGTACGAAACAGTCCGGGCGGCTTAGACACGACTCAGGCACGGATTCCGTCTCCAGAAACCCATGCTTTAGCATTCCGTGCTCCTATGTAAAGTATGTATGGAAAGCCGTGCCTTAAAGTGGTCGAGGCACGGACACGGCACGGGATATTGGCCGAATTATTTAAATGAGATCAAACGGTTTTACATAACCCGTGTCAGAAAGCCGTGCTTGTCTCTATATATGGACTCACGGATTCTGTAAACCGTGTCTTAAACCCGTGTCCTTTTCCATATATGGAGACACGGTTTTTTGGAAATCCGTGTCAAAAAAGCCGTGCTGTATACCATATAAGGAGTCAAAGGAATTTGTGCATTTGTTTAGATCTAGGTCATGGCCATTAGAGAATCCCCTGATGTAACTGTGGATGCCAAAATGGTGACTGAAACCAAACTAACTTCACATTGCTTTACATTCAATGCTTAGTTTTAGAATTTTAAAATTTTAAAATCTTACATGAATATGTCTATTTACTTTCTGTTTTTAATCTTTAGTTTTTAATTAACGTGGCAGAACCGTAGTGCGCCGTGGAGCCTCCGGCACTCCACGGCAACTTCTTCCTACGATCCATCACGGATTCCGTAGAAGACCGTAGAAGACCGCAAAAGAACTTGTCAAGACTTGGATATAGAGGGGAAAATAAACAAAATCTCACGGCGCACTACATTTCGGGCAAACGGGGCTGCCGTGGCTGGCGGGAACATAGTGTAAACGTAGCATAACTAACGCTATTAGTAAATACACACTGTCAACAATACATAACCATCCTATTTATGTTCATTACATTGATTTCATACAGTTTTTGAATGATGTAAATTAGAGTTGAGGTGATAGAGAAATTCAGAAATCTTTGTTTGCAGTGTGTATTATTTGTAGTGTATGTGGGAATAAAAGGGGAACTACTCTTAAATGTACAATTACATGTTACAAATTATTTTGTTCATGAACATCCAGATAAGTGTTTGTTGTTTTTAAATATTCCTTAAAATCACTTCTTGGTACCAAGGGAAAAAAAACTAACATTAAGATTTTTTAACATATTTTCCAAGACCTTATTTTTCCTTAAACATTACCGCCTGAAATATCTATCTACTGTATTTCTTTGTCACTATTGTATGTACATATGTATGCATGATCATTATATTATGTTTTCAAATTGTACATCAATGTCGTCTTTGAAATTTTCAACAGCATTATAATTTTATTTCATTAATTTATTATTTTTATAATTGGGTCGATATTTATATATACATGTATAAAGTCTGTTAACCATGCAGTTTCATAAAAAAATAACGAAAAGAAAAGAATAGAAAAAAAAATTGAAGTTTATATGTTAAGATTAAAGGGTCATCCTGGTTTTACAAAATTTAACATTTCTCAGATAAAAATTGCTAGTACATGTACATAATATATTAACTTAACATTTGATTATCACATTAAAATTTTTATTCAAGATTTCTTGTTATTTTACCTGGTAGTTTTGAGCCTACCCGTACGAAACAGTCCGGACGGCTCGGACACGGCTCAGGCACGGATTCCGTCTCCAGAAACCCGTGCTATAGCATTCCGTGCTCCTATCTAAAGTATGTACGGAAAGCCGTGCCTAAAAGTGGTCGAGGCACGGACACGTCACGGGATATTGGCCGAAATATTTAAATGAGATCACACGGTTTTACAAAAACCGTGTCAGAAAGCCGTGCTAGTTTCCATATATGGACTCACGGATTCTGCAAACCCGTGTCTGAAACCCGTGTCCTTTTCCATATATGGAGACACGGTTTTTTGGAAACCCGTGTCAAAAAAGCCGTGCCGTATACCATATAAGGAGTCACGGGATCTGTGCATTTGTTTAGATCTAGGTCATGGCCTTTAGAGAATCTCCTGATGTAACTGTGGATGCCAAAATGGTGACTGAAACCAAACTTAAACTTCACATTGCTTTACATTAATGCTTAGTTTTAGAACTTCAAACATTAAAAATCTTATATGAATGTGTTTACTTTCTGTTAAGGATTAACTTTATCAGTTACAATCCATGCTAGTTTTTAATTAAGATTTTAATGATAATGTACAATATTCAATTGTTATTTTATCTAGTAGCTAAGTTTGAACAATCTGAGAAAGAATTTAGTTGAAATAAAACTTTCACTAGCACAGTGATATGTCACATAAAATATATACTATAAAGGATTATTGAAAGTCCAACTAAAGTCATTCAAATAAACCAAAACTCTTTTATTGTTTTCGTGTTCATTGCCAACATCGCAATACAGGAAGATCATGAAAATTCAAAAATTGACATATTTATTCTAGATTACACTTACTGCATTTAGTTCAAAAGTGAAGAAATTATCCCAGACTGACATAAATACAATTCCAACTGACATCTATTAGTTAAATATCCTGTAAATAGAGCGAAAAGACACATTGACTTAGACCGTTCACGGTAGCCTAGTGGTAGAGCGTTCGCTTCATGATCGGGAGGCCCGTGTTCATATCGTTCCCGGCATGCGTCAAACCTTATAAAAATAGGTAGTGACTGTTCCTTTGTAAGCGCTCGGCATCAGAAGTGAAAGTCACGGGTCTTTCGGATATGACCTTAAAAACGTAGGTCCCGTGTCGCGGTAGGCGCTGGCACGATAAAGAACCCTCACTGCTCAATGGCCCTGAGTGCCGAGTATAGGTCTAAATTTGAAGCCCTTCACCGGCAAACGGTGATGTCTCCATATGAGTGAAAAATTCTCAAGAGGGACGTTAAACAATATACAATCAATCAATCACATTGACTTAGCTCATGACCATGAATCCCTCCAATTTAATATTCAAATAAAGGAAGTAATGATTGAGCATGCTCAGTAAAAAGCCGTGAGATATAAATAAATAGTTTGAAGCAAAACCCGCCTGAGTTAAAAACCATCTCCCTGGGACACGGATTCATGTCTCCACACGGTTTCTATAGGATTCCTCACTTTCGGACACGGAAGCCGTGTCCGTGTCTTGGACATGCAGAACCCGTGCTTCTTTTTAAAAACCCCTGCGGATTCCGTGTCTTAGCCGTGCCCAAGCCGTGCCTATTCCGCCTCGAACTTTCGTACGGGTATAAATCTTAAAGGGAACAACTTTTATATGAAACATAAATTTTATTGTTTTCTTTGAAATTTGAATTTATTTGCAAAACTCTGTTAGGATTACAAATACTTGAAAAATTCCATTGACTTCTATTTTTCCCATCCACTGTAGATTTGGATTCTACTACTAAACTGCTTAATATAATTATAATATACATTAATTTCATAAGAATGGTTGAATTTAATGGACTTTTTTGTGTTAAATCACAGCAAAGCAGTGACTGTATTACAACTTTGGCTAATGCCTAATTAATACGTTTTGACTAGAACTGAAAATGTTACAGGTATATG